ATTGTTTTCATATTTTGCCAAAATAATGTAAATGTTTGATGTTAAACTTTGATTCTGCAAATAAATGACCGCATTCATTTGATGGGTCAAAGATAAATAACGTCTCTCGTTCGCATTTCTGTTAAACTCAACGCACGACATTTACACAGTCAGAAAGATGAAGAACTCGTGAAAAATGTATGAATATATCCAGCATATGTCATACTACATTTACAATATCTTGATAAATCAAAAGTGTGTTTAGTTCATACCATTTCTAAATGTTGAAGTGAACCACTCATTTTAAATCAACTGTGAAACAGTATTAATGATTTTTTAATCCTCGTTTAAATTAGAAATCAAGTTAAATGTCTATTTTACAAAGTAATTATGCATTTTTGATCTTCTGTCAAAATGAGAAGTAGTGATGTCGGTCAAAAGTCAGAAAGAAGTTATTAGAACGAAGTGTCGTGTTTTTAAACCTCGCAGACGGTAAACAAGAAGCGATTGGCCTCTCTTCCTCCCACTTCGCCATAACATGTCTTCTGTCTGTACGGGACGTTTCTAAAACATTCCTGCTGTTTTCTTGACTTGTAATGACCCTCTGACATCACTAGAACCACCCCCTGTTGGTTGCTTCAACCAATCAGGAAGTCCTGAGGTGATTGGAAGTGAGAACTCTTTAAGAGTCCACACTTCCTGGAACTTCTCAGGTCAACTGGGTCTGTCAGTCAGTCGGTCAAGTCTCCTGAGCTCCTCAAGCGGATCTCTGATGAAGTCTAGTCTTGAACTTAGTCTTCGGAGCCTGTGATGGATCCTTCCATATCTAAGTGGAACCTCTTACGGACTCACAGCTTGTTGTGTATCCACCCGGGAGATGAGCGTGTTTGTTGAACGGAGTACCGTCATTACTTCGGACGATTCTCAGCCATCCTTGCCGGAGACGCTGAAAGGTAGCGTTGAAATGGACTCCTGTTCCTTAGCAGAGGTATCCCCGTCTAAGGAAACGAGTCGCCACGCACCGAGTGTACCGGGGCTGAGCTGGGGTCGGATGAAGGGTGCCATTCCTCGTCAACACACTTTCCTTTTTATCCATCTTTTCTCGCCATTTAAACTCCTTCATTTCCCATCTTTAAACTTTCCTATTTTGCCAGTAATTAATCTAGATGCCTTCAGAAATGTATGTTGTTTTTATTAAGTAAAACGTGCCAAGTTTTATTAATCAGAACCAGATCAGCTAATCACTTGTAAATTTTGATGTTAAATTTTGATTCTGTTAAATAAATGACCACATTTATTCTGATGGGTCAAAGAAAAGTAATGTCTCAGTGTCACTGATTAAACAATCTACGCACAGTTACCTGGGTCACATGGCTGTAATTTAAATCGAAAAAGAGAGAACCCGTTATTTAAATATATTGTAGTCAAGGGCAGCTAAAGCTAGCCCTTAGAACCCTACATCTGTTATTTCAAACAAAAATGTCACTCATTTTAATTAATTATTTATTCATTATTTATCCATACATCATGTTGTATTGTATTGTAGGTGTGTCTTTTAATCTTTGAATCTCTGGAAAATCCATTCAACTTTTACAAATTAGTGTATTATAGCTTATTTTATTCAGATTTTGATATTTAGATCTGTTCTTGTAAAAATTAATCATGAACTGTTAAAGTTTTAATGTCTCTCATCTAAGAATGTGCAATTTATTGAAAATCTGGGTTATTCCCTTAATTTCAGCTAATTTTCTGCTCGCTTGTAGCTCCTTTCTGACCATTTGACCTTCTGTAATCTTTTTCTATTCCCCACTCAAGTTTAAATTTTACGGCATTTCTGTTATCAATATGTTATTATTAAAAAGCATCTAAATATCCTTAACCTTATATTATTTTTCTTTATTTATTTGTCATCTTTCCTCTTCCATAATCCTCTAAGTTATCCATTTATTTATTTTGTGATATTTCAACACATCATATCTCAAAATGTTATTTTATTTTATTTTTTTAATTTAATTTTAATTTATTTATTCATTTCAAATTAAAAACACAATAACAATTTCAAAACAAGAGAGTAAAATACAAAACATAAAATGAAAGGCAGCAGAAGAAGAAAAAAATATTATTTCTGCCCCTTCTTAAACAAAATCAATTCAAACAATCAATTCAATCAATAATCATCTATAAATAATACAACAAAATTACATAACTGATCACAATTTTTCTATTTATATTTCGTTTGATATTAACTAACTTAAATCTATATGTATCTATTCAACAATATGTTCTTAATCTTTTTCTTAAATATAAACATTGACTTTGATTTTTTTACATCATCATCCAAACTATTCCAAAAACCTATTCCCTGTACTGAAGTAGACCTACCCCTTAAACTAGTCCTATACTTTGGTTTCACAAAAATATCTGTTCCCTTTAGATTATAACAACTTTTCCTTTTCACAAAATATGCTTGAATGTTCGAGGGTAGTATATAATTCTGAGCTTTATACATAAGTAAGAAAATATTATAATCCACCAGATCATAAAACTTAAGTAATTTCAATTTATAAAATAAAGTAGTTGTAGGATGATAGTAATGTTTTCTAGTTATAATTCTTATGTTCAGCTCATCAAGGAAAAAGATGCTATGAATTCCGTCATTTTGTTTTCCCAAATATCCTTAACCCTCTCTTTTTCTTTATTTATATCTCCAAATGTTCAGCTCATAAAGGGAAAAGATGTTATGAATTTTTGGTACTTGCAATTTCAGCTTTCTAGGAATGTTTTAATCCTTTTCTGTCATTTTGTTCCTCAAAAGAAATAAATTTAGCTTCACACTCTCCACATCTCTAGATCTGTTTGCAACATTTATACTGCTCCTATCAGTCTAATTCTGCAGTTTTAGCTTCTCTGCTATTTCAGCTACTATTTTACTGCTTTTATGATAATTTGAGCCTTTTTCAGTTGGTTTCACATTTATTCTGCACTCATTTCAACCTTTTGTTTCAGATAATTTCACCAACAATGTGTTCTATTGGTAAATGGCGAATGGACTGCAATTATATTGCCTTTTTAGCTTATCAAGATACGCAAAGCTTTTATAACACAATCCGTTCCTCATTTACCCATCCATACAGCATTCTATTTTATAATCAATGCTCTATCACATTCATACACCGATTGGACGCACATCGGAGGCAACAAGGGGTTAAGTGTCTTGCCCAGGGACACTTCAGCATGTGACTGATGGTGGAATCGAACCCCCAACTCTTGCATAGGAGGACGTTTGAACCACCCAGCCTCAACCGCCCCTTCACGTGCTTTTCATGGATGCAAACTAGTCATTTTATTTTTATGACAGCATTTCAATTCAAGTTTGTTCTCTCCTCTAATTGATATCTTACTGTTAGCTGTTAGCTAGTAATTTATATTAAAAAATGTTAGCTAATCATATTTTTGCATTGATTTTCCAACCTGATTTATGCATGTGATCTTCCTAGTCAGTTTAGCAAACACTCTGCTTGTGTGTGTGTTTAAGGAGTAACTTTTCCTTTTTTCACAATCAGAGAAAGGTGTCTGTAACCCTGTCCTTTATGCATGATCATATGACATGAGGTTATTCTAACTGGTCCTATGTTTGCGACATGAAGTAGGAGGAGTATGTATGTTTTATCTGTGTATGCATAATTTTGACAGTAGATTATAAAAAGCTTATGCACAACAGAGCTGGGACGTTGTCTGGGGACTTTTTGAGGTTTGTGAGGCTTTTTGCTTTTGGGCTCGGATGGCAGATTACCTCTTGTTGCTCTTGGGTCATTTTGGCCCAAGGGCAATGGGAGGGTTTATAGAACTAGCATTTTTCTTCGTTAAGTTTCTTCTTTTAGTCTTTTAATTTTGAGAGAGAGAGAGAGAGAGAGAGAGAGAGAGAGAGTGAGAGAGAGAGAGAGAGAGAGAGAGAGAGAGAGGTAGTAATTGTGTAAGGCCGTATTTGTAGACTGAGTTATACTTTTGATTTTTCCTTTTGATTTTTATATAAACTACGCGGACTCTAAGTTTTTCAGCGCACAACACCATTTTGATATCTTTCACTTTTAATAAAATCTTGGCCTGTGTGGGAAAAACTTAAACAGTGGCTCCTGGGTGATTCCTAAGTTCTGCTGGGTTACTTTGAACATTTTTCTGTAGGGTTTTTTATTTGGTACCATAAAGCCCGTGCTGAGGAAGACCTAAAGGTCCAAGTGAGACCCCACCACCTGTCTGCTGCTTTGTGCCTCAAGAGGGAGAGTGTGATGAGTTCAGCCGGCACCTTCCTTGTGTCGCCTGCTTCAGCAGAAAGGATCAAGATACGAGGGAGGGTTGTCTGGGTGTTCCTCTGGCTAATCTATTGACAAGTTGATGACTTCCTGACCTTTCCTATGAGGCAGAGCAGGGTGTGGACTCACAAAGACCAAAAACCAATGAAAATAATTGAGTACCATGTTTAAAATTCTTCAGTCAGTTTGAAAATGGATGTGCTGAGTTTTTAGATGATTATTTGTCCAAAAACCCTTTAAACATCTTCAGATTGCAATTTAAAATGTTGCTTCTAATATACAATATAAACATCCTTTACTTACCTAATAAAATGTTAATAAAATAATAAACAAAAACACTTTGAAGGGCTTTTAAAACGCTTGAACAACTACTGGTGAAGACCAATTTAAAAGTATCAAAAGGTTTGTCTAAATGAAAGTAAAATAATGAGAAATGAGAGAAGACTAAAGATTTATTATTCACTGACAGTCCTATAATTTGATGAGCCCAGACATTAACATGGTTGTTCATTCACTAATAAATATGGTTGTCCTTAAGTGCTTATGTGAGTAAATATTTACCTGTTGGCTCATTTCATCAGTTACACAAGAACATTTGTTGGTTTGTTTTCAAATGGGGGCCATGATAACAGATTTTCATAGTTGTAGAGCAAGTCAAATAAAGAAGACGTCACTTTATTGATAATCGAAGTTTCATTTTATGATTTGCACACCAGCGAAAATATCAACACCCAATTATTCATGTTAGATTTAACTGATTTACTGGAAAGTCGCATCTTTTATCCACTTTCAGCTCATTTAGAGACTCATTTTTACCAAGGAAAGCTACTAAGAAGAGACAATTGCACATTTGCAGAAACTGCACCACAATCCTGACAGCCTTTAAAACAAGCTGAAGAAGGAGGTTGGATCCTCTTCCTCCTCCTCCTCCTCCTCCAGTTGGGAACCTTTACAGAAAGAGGGTGGGATGAGATGCTGCGGGTCTGCGATTCCGATGACATTGTTGAAGAAGCTGAAAACAAAGAAAGAAAACTGAACAGCTAACAAAACCAGAGATAATGGAAACTTTACCAAAAGAGGAATTTGCAGCTTTTTCCTGGTAAGTTTAGATGTATTCTTCTGCTTTCACTAAAATATTCAACCTTTAACCTGTTCTGCTGTGGGGGAGTTTTGTTTTGGAGACTTGCACTGCATAACAAAGTATGTCAACATCAGGGAGAAGTTTACTTCTTAATCACAAGATTACAGATTCTTTCAATTTAAAGTCTTAAACTGAGCCAATAAAAGGATACTTTATTTTAATCAGAAGGCTTTATGTATCAGGGCATAGTAATAAATACTTTTTACAAGGTCCTAAAAAAATAAATACAACTACAAGTGATATACTGTAATATACCACATGTCAAACTCAAGGCCCGAGGACCAATTATGGCCCTTGTTAACGTGTTGTCTGGTTCCTAAGTTAATATATTAAAAGTTAAATATTTTCATTGCTTCTCATTTTAGTTAATAATTTAGCATATTTTAATGGTGCAAACTTCTTGTGACCATTGGCCAAGTTTGAAGGGAAAAAAAAGCTAAATAATCTTGTATTTTGTTGCAGACAATGTGTCAGAGGATGTCAAATGAGACCAATGAAACTCTTGAGGGACCTGCAACCAAAACAAACAAACAAACAAACCAACAACAACAAACAGCAACAACACCAACAACAAAAACACATGCATGTTAGGCTGCCTTCAGGCCCAGTCCTCCCTTGCAAAAGAGGTCTGTGAGCTCAATGGGATTTGCCTGGTTAAATAAAGGTTAATAAATAATAAAAGATGTCTGGTTTCTGAATGGTGTTCATGTATTGACTTGAAATAAATTTTCAATTTTAATTTAAAGTTATAAAAGTGGTAAGTTCAAGTTATACGTTTAAGTTATACATACGTTTTCAAATGTGGCCCCCTCTGACATCCTATTGATCCTTTATGACACTATTGTTTTTTGTCTGAGACAATCTAAGCCCAAACACTGAGGTACTTTATAAAGTATGAAGTTCACTCTTACTGCTTCCTTACTAACTTAAAAGTAACTGAGCATCAGTAAGTGTGAGCTCCCACAGAGCACAATGTTTGTTGCTCCTCTGCAGCATTTGGATGTCTTGATGCAATGTCAAGACAGAAAGACATAAGCAATGACCTTAGATAAACAGCTGTCCATCAATCAGGGAAGGATTAAAAGTAGTGATGGTCAAAGGAAGCTGTTCTTAAGGACTGAAGCTTGTTTAGAAAAATGTTTATCACTCAAAGCTTTTCAATACTGTCTTCTTTAGCGCCATCCTGTGGCCAAAGCTATAAAGAGCATCTTGACATGAACCACTTCCTCGTGGTTGACCAACTTAAGGAGATGACAGCTTTTGTTTAATATCCTGAGACACTTCTCTCTGATATCGGGAAATGAGGTGCTTTGAACATCATTTTTTTGTAGGTGAAAAAACAAAGTCAGTTATTTGATTAATACATTTTAGAAATTCGATCACAATCAATATCACAAATTGATCACAAAATTCTACTAGAGAGGTTTGAATATGATATTGGGATTACAGGAACTGCTCTAAAATGGTTTAAATCACATTCATTTGATACATTCCAGTTTGTTTGTAAATGCAAATATTGCATCTTCTGTATACACCAGAGTTAGTTATGGAGTTCCTCAGGGGTTCAGTGTTTGGACCAATACTCATTACAGTACCTTGCTTACGTTAGGTAAAGTTATTAAACAGCATGGGATACATTTTCATTGTTATGCTGATGATACACAGTTACATTTGTTCATGAAACCTGATGAATCCAATCAGTTAGTTAGACTACAAGCATGTCTTAAAGACATGAAAACCTGGGTGACCTTAATTTTGTGCTTTTAAACTCAGACAAGACTGAGGTTTTAGTTTTTGGACCTGAGCATCTTAGGAACTAAACTTTGCAGCCTTTCACTTTATCTGAATGGCATTAATTTGGCCTCCAGTTCTAAAGTTAAAAACCATGGTGTTATTTTTGATCGGGACGTCTTTAACCCTCACATTAAAAACATTACCAGAACCACTTTCCTCCAAATGCATAATATCACTAAGATTAAAAATATTTTGTTCAAAAATGATGCAGAAAAACTGGTAAATATCACATCTAGGTTGGACTGTTACAATTGTTTATTATCTGGTTATCCAAAAACGTCTTTAAAAAGTCTTCAGTTAATCCAAAATGCTGCTGCCAGAGTTTTGATGAGAGTTGGTAGGAGAAATAATGTTTCTCCAGTTTTTGCTTCTCTCCATTGGCTCCCTGTCAAATTTAGAATAAAATTCAAACTCTTACTTTTAACATACAAAGCTCTCAACAACTTAGGTCCATCTTATATTCGAGATCTTATTGTTCCATATGTTCCTAACAGAGCACTAAGCTCTCAGACTTCAGTGGATTTTTTTAATTTTTATTTTGCATCCTAGAGTTTTCAAAAACAGAATGGGAGGCACAGCTTTCAGTTATCAGGCTCCTCTCTTGTGGAACCAACTTCCAGTTTCTGTCCGTACGGCTGACACATTGTCTACTTTTAAAGCTCCCAGTATACTGCCACGTACGTCCATACGCAGAGGTATGCACGTACGTACGCAGAGGTACGAGCGTACCCCCAGGGCATGTCCGTGCAAAGCTCAAATTTTTACGACCGCATACGTGTACGCAGTGTCGCACAATAAACTGCCCAGCGATGGACTGTTTTGTATGTGACACCAATGTATTAAATTCCACTTCTTCATCTCTGATCTGGCCTTTTCTTTAGTTTTTTTGCCAAGAGGCAGTGATCTCTTCCTCCTCCGTTGATGCCATGACTAAAATGGTGACAAATGAAGGAATTTGTCATGAGCAAATTAAACTCAGGTCCAGCATGGCTGCGGGAGGGTCTGGAGATTTCCTGATGGCTGGTCTGATGTGTGGGCTGTAGATCCAGCGCTCCCTGTTTTTATTTTTATTTTTTAGATATTTTTATTAACAACATATAAACACAGAACACCGCTGAGGCTGCCAGCGCTCGCTTTTCTTTTCTTTTTTCCGACCTGTCAATCAATCCAGTAGGCGTGTCAGCAAATGACCAATCGGCGACCTCAATTTGTCCCGAAGGTAA